TATATATATATATATATATATATATATATGCGTTGAGCAAACGCATTACTTTGCGAGATCTCGCAAAGTTTTTTTTTTTCCTTCCATGTCCCCTTAGGGGCTCCGTAGGTTTCCTCCCACATTACAAAAAAAAAAAAAAAAAAAAAAAACATGCACGGCAGGTTAATGGAGCACTCTAAATTGTGCCTCGGTGTGAGTGCGAGCGTGGATGGTTGTTCGTTTCTGTGTGCCCTGCGATTGGCTGGCAACGAGTTCAGGATGTCCCCGACCCACTACCCGAAGACAGCTGGGATAGGCTCCAGCATGCTCCCAACCCTTTGTTAAGATAAGTGGATCAGAAAATGGATGGATGGATTGATAGTAAAGGCTCCACTTGTATTTTCAATAACAAGCAACTATGATAAACAAGGAAATGACAGATCAGTATTAAAAGACTTTCCGTAACGTAAGGGTACCATTGAGCAGTAGTACCACCCAATGACAGCTGTGCGACAATGTGCAGAGTCATCGAGCAGAGATAAACTGCTCAGTGGTACAATACGATGACAGTTGTGCAGTTGGTGCAGATAATTGTTGCACCATTTTTAAGTTTTCATAAGGTGGTCTAAAATGAGTACAAAACTGACAAAGAAATTGTGCTAAACGTGGAAATGTATTGATCCATGTCTCAGTGTCAGAGTGCCGCACACGATGGTTCAATAGCGATGTTGACCAATCAGACGAGGGTGACGTGGAGGCCTTGTATCAGCTGATGAAGGCTTACCCGAATCAGGTCTGCGGGAATCCGCTCCAAATAGAGGCCAGGACAAAAGACGGCTTGCCTTCGAAACACACGGGAGACATCTTCCTCTTGTGAGTCCTTCATTCACATTCACATCCCAATTAGAAAAGAAAATTGTGCTCGGTGTGACTTGTGCTTTTAAATTGCAGCTACGATGTTATTTTTGGGTTTGCATGCATCAATGAGAATCAGAAGAGTGCAAAACAATGCGAGGATTACAAAGTGGTGCTGACGTGTCCCTCCGATTTCTGTCACAGTGAGTTTTTGTTTATGCTTGTCTGTCTATTTTTTTGCAACTCAAGATTCAAATTGTAAAAACTTCCACTTTGGTCTTTTGAGCAATTCTTGTCTCTCACGTGTTCAATGACAGCTTGCAGGACTGGCTGGTTCAACGTAGACAATCCTACCAACGGCGGCGATTACGAGACTCTCGACAAAGTGCAAAGGGTGAATGCTGCGGGGGTCTGCTCTCAGCCTGTAGCGGTGGAGGCCATGACAGTATCTGGCATCCCAGCGCACAAGACCGGCGATGTATTTCAAACGTGAGTGGGCCAAACTACAATGCCCACAACAATCGCTCTCTCATCCATCTGTCACTTGATAAATCAACTGGTGAGGATGGGGGATGGGGATTTTTCTCAAAAAGTGCGAGGAGAGAACTAGCCTCTCTTATTACAGCGCTATGACCACCACTGTGGCATAAGCAATATTATAATATTTTTTCATGTCATTCCAGCGAATGCTGACTTTGTGTTGCAGGTTTCAAACGTTAAAAGATTCAAAATCTTGATGCTACCGGAAGTACATTCTAACTTTACGAAATGTGCAAGAATACGATAATGCAAGAATGCAAGTGCAAGAAAAAGATAATCAGTGGATGAATGAGTAATCTCCATCACAAATGTGCTGAAATAGCTGAGGTGAAAAGTCAAAGAAGTGGCGTCGTATAATTACAAACACAACTCCTTCTTACTTTAATAAAATGTATTTTACAGGTATGACGCTACTCACGGCTTCGCGTGTGTGAATGATGAGCAGACCGAGAAACAATGCGAAGACTACAAGGTTCGATTCACCTGCCCACCGGACTTCTGCGCCTGAACCTGCAGTCTCGTATCTTTTGTATTAGTCGAGCATAAGGACATCAACATCTCTTAATGATTATTGTTAGGCGATGATTCAAAGCCTCACTCCTCTAAACAAAAATATTTAATGTGTCCATCATGCACGATAATCTTCCCAAAGCGGTGTGACTCTGACACCTAAGGCTGTCTGGAACTCACATCGAGTTTTTCTGAGACTTGTAAATGCATGTTGGAATCCATGAAAAAGATAAAGCACACTTGAAGTTTGAAAAGTCCTTACACTTTGTAGGAGAGCGTGCTTTTTTTCAGTGTCCAATAAATCTAGTAAAAGCTATTTTATCAGAACATTGCTTAAGGCTGCCTGCTTGTTTGGAAGTCCAATAAATGTGCCTATTTTGGTTCAACTTATTGAAATCAATTAGCTTCAACTGCCACAAATGAACCCCCCCCCCACCACCACCACCACCACCACCACCACCACACACATTAGCTTGTATTAATATTGAACTTGGTAATGGGTTGCTATTGACTGAAGTACAGTGCAATAATAAAAGTCTTTCAAATTTGTTCAAGGAATATGAGAGCATCAAGTTCTAAAAGGAAGCCAAATTTCCAAGATGAAGAGATGAGGCATTTGTAGTTGCCTTCCATTCATGTTTGACAATAAAAAAAACTGGACACTCTTCAGCACTAGATGGCAGAGCTTGCTTACCAGCTCCTCCAAGCCCAAGACGGTACTTGTCCATCAGAAAAGGAGGTCTCACCAGGACTCTTATCACTTGTTACTTTTGTCACTAAATACTATTTGACGGATTTATGATTAACTCTGAGATGCATGAATGACTGGACCCTACACTTTCCATCAGGGGTCAAAAATGACCAACATCAGAATCATTGTACTGTATTTGAAACCACTTTGGCAAGGTCTCATAATCTTTCTTATTATTTCTATCACATTTTGGTCAACACATGCCTTCTTTTATTATTATTGTTATTATTATTATTATATAATACATCTTTATTTATGTAGCGCTTTCACAACTGCTGCAGCTGTAACAAAGCGCTTTCCAGAACAGTTAACATAAAATACCAAAATAATATAACACAACACCTAACATAAGACACGGACAGTCACGCAATCGTAACCACTATTCCTACATAGGCTTTGTTGTTTTAAGCAGTTCTAGATGAATGAAGAGCGAATCTAATTGTCATTATCATCATTATTATCATTATTATTGTTATTATTATCTCATTCAATGCTATAGACCAGGGGTGTCAAACTCATTTCACATGGTGGGCCACATACGGCCTCGGTAGATGTCAAGTGGGCCGGACCATTAAAATGACACAATACTTTGCTATAAATAACCAAAACAATATGTCTTTCCTTTGTTTTGGTATAAAGAAGCACAAGAACATTAGGAAAATATTGAAATTTAATGAACATATCTTTTACAAAACATTTCATGAAGCACCTTACATTTCCTTCGACAAATGTGCAATTTACTTTTATCATTCACATATATGCATTGCAACTGATCCCA